CTGGTGCCGTTGGAAACAAATCACTCCTCCGTAACGTGCGTTATTAAGCAGCTTAGGGTCTGTTGTTTAGTAACATAAGTACACTAACAGTTTGTGGGACGTTAGATTTTCCCTTTTTTCTGAACATGCACGATCCCTTTCATCTTTCATGGTTTCGATAACTCCTAATCGAGGATTACGCTAAATTTGCGACGTGTTTGGACTCTGTTACAAATGTATCCTTAACAGCAGTTTTTAATTGAGTGTACAAAAACCACAGTGAAAGTGTAGTGTGATCGTACGGGTGAGTGTAGTTCTGAGAAGGACTGTTGTTGGTGGTGATGACCGACATTTCGACAACCTGTGCGGACGATCACACTACACTTTCACCACTTGTTACCCCCGGGTTCAAACCATTTACTGCAAAAACCAGTCAAAGTAACCCCAGCAACCAATCAGAACGAAGGTTTACGTCACCATTGTCCATTGAGGCGCGGGAAGACATGTACAGCTAAGTCGCGATCGGCTTTAGTTTTTGATCTGATTGGTCGAGAAAAAGACGCGGGTTTTTAGACCAATCATAGATCTGGGTAAAGCCAATCAAAGCAATCACGAATAGCTTTCGACAATCATTGGAAATTGCTCTTAAGTAACTGGAGAAAATTACCCACGTCTGCAAAAAATAAAAAAAAACATTCTCTGGCTGATGAAATGAAGAAAATTACCCACGTCTGCAAAAAATAAAAAAACATTCTCTGGCTGACGAAATGAAGACGAAGAGTTCTTCGTAGTGGCCGAAGAATTCTCCGATCTCTGATGCGTAACGAACAGACTGATTATCCGTAATTATAACCCACCCATTAATTTTGGCGCGATTTTATTGGTTACTTTACGTCACGTGGTGCAAAATCACAGGACAGTTATCACGCAATAACCCCCGTCCGCGTCGATATCTGTCCTCCGACTTTTTCCGTGAAAAAGAAACATAGTCAACACAAGAGATCCAACTTTTTCGTTCTCCTATTTACATGGAAGCAAACCAAACTCGTTTTTTTTTGTTTTTGTTATGCTTGCTTGCTTGCTTGCGTCAATCACGCGCATTCGCCATCAGATCACCACTGGCTTTTTTACCGTGTTTACGCGCAGTTTAATTGCGATGTGAAAATTAATGGAAGGGTTATAAAATAAATAAACCCCGTTCTGGCTTGCTGGTATGTCGGCTGATAGTGTCCTTGGCTGAGAGATTGTCCTCAAAATTTCATATTTGCCCTCGATGCTTCGCTTCTCGGCCAAATATTCCTTTTTCGGACAATCTCTCAGCCGCGGACATTATCAGCCGACATACCAGCCGCCCGAAGGG